ACAGGCCACACGTCATCGAGGTTAGAATGCACACGGAGACATCACAGGCCACACGTCATTGAGATTAGAACGCACGTGGAGACGTTAGGACCTGGTACTGCATGGCACTCCAGAGAAGGCAGGTAGGACGCCCATGTTAGCAGAACGACAGACGACAGACTTCAGAAGGAGCAGTCCTTATGATCGCTTATGTTCTGATTGGATCCGATTTGAGTTACTGAAAGCTTGTGTTTGGATGGAGACTGCTGCCGACCATTGTCTACTTGACCCCATTCTAGCCTCTTTGTGGGTTTTTCTCTGGAGTCAGCCACCGTTCAGTTACCATTTCATGTCCACAAGAATGAAATCAGGTTGCCATTGCTCCTTGCTCACAGATGCCTGTTTTTAAATAAATGATGATTTATCTGATGCTTGTTGACCATATTCTCTGAGAGTGCTGGCATCAAACATGTTCTCTTTGAGACTCCAACCTTTTTTTTTTTCTGTTTTCATTTGCTAGAATGCTCCTGTAGATGTTGGCTTCATGGTTTCTAAGCTGCTTTTGACAATACAGTTATGTCCAAAAACAGAATTTCAGCCGAGCGAGAAGTTTGGGGAGGATCTGAGTGACAACGCGTGGGAATGCATCTTCGCCATCGATCTACTCTGCTGCCACCAGAGGTGGATTTGGACCCACGACAACATCATAAGGTACAGAGTGCGTGCCATGACATGGTGCAGCGCTGAAACGCCTACAAAGGGCAGCCTCCCAGTTGGGCTCCGAACACTACCCTGTCGTCCGATGTGGTCTATGATTTACTCATCATCTCTCCCCGCTGACACCCACATGGCAGAGACTTTGCTCAGGTCACTGCCAGATCCCTAGCACCCGGGATGGCTCCCCACAGGTGGGGGCTCCTCGGTACGGGCTGCGGGAGCCTAGTGGCCATCGTTCCACCGTAAGGTCCCTTAGGTGCCCAGCTTAGCAGCCCTTCTCACCTGGGGTCCTGGGAGGAATGGAGCCCAGTGTCCTCGAGCCCCCTGTGTATCAGTGGGTGCCATGTGTCGGCATTCCCACCTCAGTCAGGGGTCTCAGCTCACTTTTCCATAGCTCTCAGTGTTCTGCTGAAACCCTGGCTGAGAGAGGCGGGTTAAGGATGGCCGTCAGTGATGTTAAGTGCTGTCCACTGATTTCCGACCCATAGCAACTCTGTGTAGAGTTCATGAGCAACTAGTGAGTTTGAACCGGCAGCCTTACCGTGCTTATCCTTGGCGCCACATGAGGACTCCAGTAAGGCAGCTCCGACTCACAGCTACCCCGTGAGGGGTTCCCAAGGGGCTTGGTGGGTTTGAACTGCCCATGTTGTGGTTAGCAGTCCAGTGCTTATCCTACAGCACCACTCCAGGTAAAAGAGTTGCTAAGGAGCCGCTAGTCCGTCTCCTGAAGGCCTAGTCACATAATGGTCCCAGGATGTGGGGAGCAGATGGTCTCCTGTTCCCTCAGCACAGGGAAGACTGCACGCTCAGTGTCAGCTGGTGCGGGGTGACGTCAGTAACTGAGACGAAGCTGTGCGTAGAAGTGCTCTGGATGGATGTGTGTGTGTGGATGTGGTCCGCATCCCACATGTGTTACCAGGACAGGTCAGGGACAGCAGTGTGGTGCTGTGTGGGTCCAGCTGCCTCTTCCAGCCTAGGATGTGGGGCGTGAGTGGGCGGAGGCCCTTGAGCCGCCTTCCCGAGCTCAGTCCCGGTCCCGGCATCAGTGAGTAACATGGCAGAAGCTGGCCTGCCCAGCAGCCCTTGAGCTCAGAGAGAAGGGGCTGTGTCCACAGTTCACTGTTCTAATAGTTCATCCGGAGCACTGTTAAGAAGTACATACGTGTGTTTTGTGCTTGTCCTCTCATTGTGTAGCAAGGAGCTGTGGCCTGTCATGGACAAATGGATCAAGTACAGGAAAGGACACCCGAACGTCACACACACCCCGGATATCATCGTAGCCTCAGTCCTGAGGCTCATCGGTGAGTTGGTGCACTGAAATGTTGCTTGTGTTCCTGACCATTTGGTGGTGAGGACATACGCAGACAATCATAAAAACTTGATTTTGAATCCTTCATGTAATGACTGATTAGTAAGATGTTTCGAATAGACACCTCTACTCCTCATTTTGTTCTCCTTTCTCACAGTCTTTATGAGTATTTTATCCAAAAGGGAGACAAAGGTGGGCTTGAGTGGGAGGACTGAGGGGCCACTGCTGGTGGTTTCTGAGACGAACACCCTAGTGGGATTGGACATGCAGACCCTGCTCTTGCCCCCGGGGGCACACTGCTTCCAAGCCCATCCTCTGGTCAGACCTTTGGGCCAGTTCTTAGGCTGATGCATAGTGAAGCGGCTAGGATACAGACCAAATGCACATACTGCCTGCATTTGTCACATAGAAGACTTGTCTTTAACCTTAATCTAACCCAAACTTGTAAAAACTGAATTTAAAAAAAAAGAAATCAGACCCCTTGCCATTGAGGTGATGCCGACTCTGAATAGAATTTCTGAGCCTGTGGAGCTTTATGGGAGCACACACCCTCGTCTTCCTCCCTTGGAGCAGCTCTGGGTTTGAACCGTCGACTTTGTGGATAGCAGTCTGGTGTTGCCCCGACAGATCCACCGGGGTCCCTTGTGAAAAGGGATCCTGGGGCAAAGACAAGCTTCCTGCCCAGGTGATTCCGTGTTGCTGAACCTGGAGCTGGGCTGTCATGACGTCTGTCCACAGAGGAGGCGGTCAGCGAGTCCACAGCTGTCTCCCCCAGGACAGGGATGAGGGCCCCACACCTGGGAGGTGCCGCTCTGTACTATAGCAGTTGCTGCCAGACGGGCATTAGGGGAGGCCTTGGTGGGCAGCAGAGCTGCTGACCCAGTCAGTCGCCTCACATTGGCCCACTGTGAGATGCCACCACACGGCTCAGCGGGCAGTGCCACATGCCCACCATGCCTACCTGGACAGGCAATGGAAGGGGCATGGAATGGTCCTCCAACTTTCTGAAGCCTCCCTGTAGTCTGCACATGTCACCCGGACTGATGGAGGAGGGTTCTGCTGAAAGATTCCTCCTCCACGGAAACCCTTCCCTGAGAAACCAGCATCCCTCTACCATCAGCTCACAGCAGCCCCCATGCCCACTGCCACTGAGCCAGTTCCTGCTCAGAGACCCTGGACAGGGTTTGTTATGGGAGCGCAAAGCCTCGTCTTTCCCCCACGGAGGGGCTGCTGGGTTTGAACTGCCGACCTTGCACTTACCAGTCCAGTGCCTAACCTACTGCATCATCAGAGCTCATTTGGTTTGATTGACTATCTCACGTCAAGGAAAACCCATTTAAAGCCATGTGAAAAGTTAATCGGCATTTGACAAAACGGCCTACATTTGTTGGTAATTTCTCCTAGGTCGTCTAGGCCAGTTGGGTCTGAAGGAAGGGTTTCCATCTGCCGTGAAGAACATCAGCTCTGTGATCGGGATGTTCATCCAGCATGCTCAGGATGAAGGTGAGAGCTTCCTTCAAACGTCAAACCATGTGGCTTCCGGCCAAGGCCTCTTTCCTCCTCACGAAGCACTCTGCTGCTCCGCCTGCTTCTCCGGCTACAAGTTAGGGACGCCACAAGCCCCCCGCTGTCCCACCAGTCCCTGAGGACACTTGGCTCTGGCTCCTCCCCTTGTGTGCCTGGAGGCATTCCCCTGGGTAACCCAAGCTCCTGCACTGATTCACCCGGGGCCTGGGCAGCCCACTGCTTTGTCTCCTGCTCTGTGGTTCTTGGTTCAGCTGCTCTTGTTCCTCCGCACATCCTCCAGTGTTACAGCGTACTGTGTCTGGGTCACTTCACTTTTGCAAAAGTCCTGCATTCAGGCCTGTGTCCACTGACTGGGAAACGATACAGTGAGCAGCGTGCAGGCAGGGAGAGTCGGCAGGGACTGATCCCCAGGCTCCTCCCGGGACCTCCTCAACGCCTCAGGGTGTCCAGACGCTGGAGCTGTTTTAGTCTTAGGTGTTTCTCCTGTGGCTGGGCAGCCTACTTTGCCCCCAGATGTTTACCCGTGTGAATTCTTTGCTTTATGCCATTTTGGCTTCTAAAAGGTTTCCAAGGAAGGCGCCACCTTCGGATATTGGATGTGAACACTCTTAGCTGCTAACTAATAGGTTGGTGGTCCATGTTCACCCAGATGTGCTTCGGAAGAAAGGTGTGGTGATTTGGTTCCACAAAATCAGGCACTGAAAACCCTGTGGAGCACAGTTCTGCTCAGACACGCATGGGATTCTCATGGGTAGGAGACTTGGTGGTGCCTGGGAGGACTCAGAAAGGAGCTGGTAAGCACCACACCAGCTGGGTTCCCCTAGTCTGCTGCCCAGACCGGCTCTTTCAGCAGTGCCTCAGCATGGGCATTGAAGAGACATCTGGGCCATACCATTCACGATACGTTCTCATCAAGCCCCTTCTTGTTCAACAGACTCCAGGAAACTGTTCGAATAAACCCTGTAAGCCCGCCCAGAACACTAATGTTGTGGCATCTCAGATGTGTCAAGGGGCCCTCCCAGAATTGCTGTGGGGTTTGGTGCTAGTTCCGAGAGAAGGGCACTCTGAGCCAGACCCTCAGACTGGAGGGACCCAGGATTGGTTGGTTGATTTTTGTAAATGAGTCTTAGGTGGCTGTTGGAATATACTTTTTGGTTGGTTGGCTGGTTTCGTCTTCAGGTGAATTCCGTTGTGCGTGCTCTTTTACTTGATTGTCAGATTAAGACTCATTTGCAAACTCTTTCCAGATATCCCTTGGGGCATCCAGCTGGCGGCCGCCTATGCGCTCTGTGACTTGAGCCCCAGCAACCCCGAAGAGACATCCAGGATCCTGGAAGGCTGGCGGAAGGCAGCGCCGCAGAGTGTCCCGGCTGCTGTCATCAGCTACCTGGAAGAGGCGGGCGCCCTGTGCACACAGGAGCAAGGTTAGGCCGGGGCCTCCGTCCAGACAAGTGCCTTCATGTCAGCTGGACGCGCACACACCAGTGACCTCTCAGAATCCCAGGAGATGGGGAGAAGAGCCACCTCCCGCCCACCGGCTCTTCCCTCAGCTTGGGTGACTGTGCCCATGGCGAACGGCAGAAACTTGAACTTGGCCCTTTTTTGCTGCAGAAAGTGTCCTTTTAGTGGCTTTTTAAAATCGAGCGCCCTTTTCTAATGAATTTAGTCAAACGAAACTGTGATTTGGTTTCCAAACAGCTTTAGGCCCCTGCTCTGCCATGACTGACTGGAAACGTGGAACCTGCTAGAAAAGAGCGAGGCAGACTTCTCCCACCTACACCAGCACTGCGCCTCCGCCTCCCTCCCTGGGGCTGGGCCGCTGGCCTGTGGGTGAGCAGTTCTGAGACCTGTGCGTCTCTGCGGTGTACATACAGGACAACACTATAATGTGCCTCACATTGGATGGTGTTCCACTTTCGGAATTTTAGAATGTGTACATAGGAAATGGGTTAATAACTTACCGTGGTCCTGTTTTGTCTTATATTCATCATTTCTTAAATCTCTTGTTTTTTATAATAAAAGATAAAAGCAAACTCCATCTGTGTGGCATGGCCTCAGCGGTGTTGGTGCAGAACAGACGCGGTGCGGGGACCCTGCCTGACCAGCTTTGTGAGCGCTGCCGTCGGTCCTCCCGGTGGGACTTTGTTTACCTAAAGAGAGGATGCACTTTCAAAATGACACTTGCCAACTGTTTTGTGACTCCCTGATCATGTTGTTGTTGTTAAACACCATTGAGTCGATACTGACTCAGAGGACTTTGTGTAGGGTTTCCAATGCTGTTAAATCTTTGTGGAAGCAGAAAGCCTCATCTTCCCCTGGAGTAGTGGCTGGCAGGCTCGAACCGCTAACCTTGTGGTTCACAGTCCAGTGCTTGTCTGAAGGAGCCATCGTGCTCCCTATGAGTAACTAACTAGTGAGCATAGTTCATAACTGTGGAAAGCGCTCTGTGCCACCCTTGGGAAGCTGCTTGGTACATCTGTACACCCACAGACATGACTGAACAGACCCACTGGGTCAGGGTTCAAAACCTGATGACGGGCGTGCCGAAGAGATGTTCGGCCTGTAGCACCAGGGGCTCTGAGGAGGACAGGCGGGGACGAGGACGTGCAGCACACTGGCCCGGTCCCTAGTGCAACAGCCACGCTGGCCACTGGTCACTGAGGACACTTTGGAGCTGAGTGAACCCAGAGAGGCGAGTCTGAGCACAGCTGCCATGTGAGGCATCCCACGAGGGAACGGAGGGGAGCAGGGCTGGGCAGTGAGGATGTGCAGGTCTGGTGGGCACGCTCTACTTTCCTGAACGGGGGTTGGGAAGAAGGGAAGAATCCACAAGACCCCAGGTTCTGAGGGGCATTGGCATGGGGGGCATCGGTGCAGAGGGCACCGTCGCAGACATGGTGCAGATTTGCCGGTAGAAAGGAGAAGTCCCCAGCATTGCACTTGGGATGCTGGGACCAAGAGGCTCTTGTGCAGAAGACCAGGCGCTGTTCAGTCCCGAGACAAGACACAAGAGCAGCCTGACACACAGCACACTGACCCTCTTGCTCTTCAGGAGGACCATGGTACCTATCTTCATTGGTGGTCAGGGCTGGGCGTCATGGCATAACCCAGCAAATTTACCCTCCATGCTTGCAAAGGGAGAGAACTGTCCTGTGACCACAAGAGGGTGTCCTCGGCCCATCCACGGCCCAGCAGTCGGCATTCACAGTCTGGGTGGTGAAGTTACGCACCCACACCTACTCCCTCTGTTGTCTGAGGGCACCTTTTCTTTAAAATTGCCCTTGTTAAGTGCCATCAAGTCAGGTCCGACTCATAGCAACCCTGCATACGGGTTCCGAGGGGGGCAGCTGGTGGGTTTGAAGCGCTGAGCTTTACCATCCAACACTGGCACACCAGGGATCCAGTGAAAATAGAAGGACGTATTTTGTCTGGACAGCTGTTTAAAGAGAACTGTTTTGATAGATAGGTGATAGGAGGGGAGGTCTCCCTCGGGGAAGTTGTCAGGTGAGTCCCACCACCCTGCCCACAGATCACACGCCCGGCACATTCTCTCACTTGGAGCCAGGTGAGTAAATCAATGAACTGAGCTCAGCATGCATCTGCTTAACATGCCTAATGGAGACTTATCCAAGCCCACTGCCACGGAATCGCTTCAGACTCACCGACCATCTATATGGAGTCCTGGTGTGGCGCTGTGGGCTAACGAGCCAGAGGGCAAAGTCATTTGAATTGCAAGGTCGGTGGTTCAAGCTCACCAGCGGCTCCTTGGAAACCCTATACAGGGTCGCTAGGGGTTGGAATCGACTTGAAGACACTTCACAACAACAACAATGTTTTTAAGACTTTCATTGTTTATAGGGGTAGACAGTCTGGTTTTACTTCTGAAGGGGGAGCAGCTGCTGGATTCCAGCTACTGACCTTGATGCTATCAGCCCCACAACTACCGAACTCCCAGCTGCAGAAGACGAGATGTGTTTCCCACCTCCCACTTGGAGGCTCATAGTCTTCATCTCCAACCTTGGAGGGTGTCTACAATACGATTCCTTAAAACCCAAACTGACTCTTCGACTCTTACCACTGACCTTGGTCAAAGGCAGCCACACCTCTAATGAAGCACTATTTTGAGTTTTGAGTTAAGACAAGACTTAGGTTTGGAAATACAGGGTTGTTCTTTAAGGAAGTGTCCCAGGGAGTGTTTCTGGGATTGAAATTCCGAGACACAAGTGTCTTCTGGTGAGATCACCGTGGAATGCAGAGTCCGTTACTCCTGCTCCTCTCTTTATGTTCTGCTTAGCGTCAGACTAGAATGCTGGCGAATCTGTGAATAAGCACTGGACTGCTAAACACAAGGTTGGCAGTTCAAACCCACCAAGTGCTCTGAGGGAGCAGTCCCTGGACATGTTTATCATGGTTGGTAAAGTGGATGGTCAGCGAGAAAGAGGAAGACCCCCAATGAGTTGCGCAATGGGCTCAAGTGTAATAGTTGTGAGGACGGTGCAGGCCCGGGCAGTATCTCATTCTGTTGTGCACAGGGTCACTTACTGACTAGATGACCCCTAACAGCAATAATTCTTACCTTAAGGAACTTGTGGGTGTCTCAAATGGTTAAGCACTGGACCAGTCGTTTCAAACCCACCCAGAGATTCCTGGCAAGTATGGCCTGGCAATCTGCGTTCCAGACTTCGCAACCTTGGCAAGGCTCTGGATGAGTGCGGTTCTGCTCTGCACGCATGGAGTTACCTGCCTTGGAATCCACTCCAAGCTCAAGTCCTGCAGCTCCCTGACCTCCCAGCAGAGGGCGCTCTGTGCATGGCCTGTGTACCTGGAGTAGTAAGACAAGCTGGCTAGGGTGAGGCCCCGGTCCTTGAGTTGTACAAATGACAAGTCACACCCAAGTGGCTGACAGGATCAATGCATTTACTTCCACATTGAGGCAGCTACATTCACCACAGCATTCGTTGTTAGTTGGCCTCATCGAGTTGGTTCCCACTCAGCGACGCTGTACACAATAGAACAACACACTGCTCAACCCTGCTATCCTCACAATTATTGTTACGCTTGAGCCCTTTGCTGCTACCACTGGGCCAATCCATCTCGTTGGGGGTCTTGCTCTTTTTCGCTGACCCTCCACCATGCATGATGTCTTTCTCCAGGGAGTATACCCTCCTGACAACATGTGCAAAGTATCAGAGACAAAAGCTGCCCATCTTGACTTCTAAGGAGCACTCTGGCTGTAATTCCATCACAAATCTGTTTGTTCTTCTGGGCAGTCAGTCCATGGTACATTCCATACTCTTCTTCAATACCATAACTCAAATGCATTAATTCGTCTACAGTCTTCTTAATTCATTGAAAATACCATGGCTTTGGTCAAGGTTACCTTAATGACAATGACTACAGTTATCAAAATAAATGTCAACAGTAGAAATAAACCTGCAGTGGACTGATGACCTAAGGCAGGCCCAGGAGTCCAGGTGACAGTAGGACATAGAGACAAGCACCCCACTGCACCCCCCCCCCAGGCCCCAATGAGCCTGTATGTGCTTTAAACACAGCCCTGAGGTCCCCGGAGACCGCAGGATGCAAACACACTCCCAGTCTGTCCAGTCCGGCACAAGTAAAGAGATAGGGAGTTTTTGCAAAATTGCACACATAAATTTGTCTTATAAAAGATTTAAAATAGATTTTCCTGCATAACTGAGCTGGCAGAAAATGAGGAGATCCACTCAAGGTGACAAAGGACAGGAAGCCTGAAATCCACAGGAGAAAGAAGGCCTGGGGCCCCTGAGATGGGGATGGGGGTGGGCACATAGACTGAGGCTTAGAGATCTTAAAGAGACCCAGAGACCAGTTTCCCCATTGTATGCAGGGGAACAGAGATAAAGTACAGGCAGTGACACTCACCAGACATTGTAAACCCCAAACCAAACCCACGGCCACCGAGTTATGGAACAGGGTAGAACTGACCCATAGGGTTCTGAGACTAAATCTTCACAGAAGCAGACTGCCATGTCTTTGTCACAGGAAGCAGCTCGTGGGTTTAAGTCTCAGGTCTTCAGTTTAACTTGCTGCGCCACCCCAAAAATGGGAACATCACTTCCTCAGACTGAAGAAAAGCATCACATGCAATCTGATATCTGCAGGTAGGAATGAGGAGCATCAGAAAGGGAACAGATACATTTAAAGACCTTGTGTGTGTGTGTGTGTTCTCTGTGGTGGTGGGGGTTGTATGCTGTGAAGTAGGTTCCAACTCACAGCGCACCTGTATAGGGTTTTCAAGGTTGTAAATCTTGTTGGGAGAATAAAGACTCATCTTTTTTCCACAGAGGGACTGGTAGATTCAAATTGTTGCCCTCACAGTTAGAAGCTCAGCTCATAATCCACTTTGCTACCTGGGCTTGTTTGTTCTCTGTAGGCACTGCAGATATT